GTGGGGTGGATTCTCATGATGTGGCCCTTTTGCCACACTGCCAACTCAGCCTTGGCAAATCAGAATGACACCTGACAGTAGAGCAGCTAATGATCAGTCTTCCAGGAAAATTGCCCAGTCGTGGGCTGCACTTCAGACCTTCAGACTTCAGAACCTCTATAGCCATGGATCGGGGCCTTCTGCTCAGTCTTCCGACGGGGTTGAAATCCAGGCGAACGTGGGGAGGTCTTTGGTCACGACATATCAAAGAATCTACGGTCATTGATTCTCCTTTGAATACTGGGGCCAAATAGAAGTTGGCCCTTCTGTAGGTCCTTGTGAATGCGAATGGTTTAAGCTTCTAACTTACAGTTGTGCAAGCTAAGCCCTGGCAAATGAACTGCCAAATCTATATATACATAAAATCGAAAACAGCCAAAAGGGTGAGACACTGGAATATTCTAGTGGCTTTTCTGTGTGGGTGGCCTCATGCCGCAGACTTTGCCAAGAAAATTCTGGGCCAATCCTGTGGCCACCTATGACAATGAATTCCTGCCTCGCAACGTCCAGCAGTGGGGAGATTAGGTCACTGTCGTAAGTGACAGGCGAATGCCGCTCGAGCTTGTAATCAGCAAAGCTCATGATGCGCATCACCAGCCTGAAGAAGCCACTCGTTGTTACAAGAACACCACTAAATGGGGGTGTACAAAATGCAAACACAAGACATCAAGGTTGCCATTTTTCTACATAGTTGGACCTGGAGTTTCAATGATGCTGGACGAGATTTATGGAGAAGTTTTACAACCAAATCAGAGGCATCTTCCATTTATGAAAGCCAATGGGCTCCGTGGGCGCTGCTCGGGAATGAAGATAGGTCCGCAGCTCCCTTCGCTTGCGGCTGCGTTCATTGTTGATGGTGCGGATCTCCTGACGAATCTACGGACCTCATCTCTGGCCCAATAGCTCTTCCATTGTGAAGTGAGCTCTCTTTAAGGTGGTTGAATGTTATTCTTTGATTGGAAGAGTTGCTTGCATAATCAATTGCATTGATGGTGAACTAAATTAGCGAGTAGTTTCGATTGCATAGGAAGGCAGGCCATATTATCTCTAAGACTTGTGAGCAATGTAAGCTTTCCGCCTCTATTTTAAGAAAAGGTATCTGGAATGTTCTGAGATGTTCTGAGGTATCCATATTCTAATTGAAATGAATATGGCAGGATGTTTCATAGTGTATGTTTTCTGCTTCGTAGTGATATCAAACATTTTGCACGGAGAAAACGCCTGAACTCTATCTATTTGGGGACCACCAGAAGAATCTTCAAGAAGTATGTATCCAGCTTGCCTCCAAACCACTTTGAGGGTGTCAAGCTAACATCAAGCTAGCACAAGAAAACCTCAAGCAATGGCCCCGAGATGCCCAAATAACATTATAATTATGACATATCAACATGGTCCTCCAACAAGAAAAACACCTCTTCCAAAGCATGCCCAAAAGACATCCCCGCTACCATCTCACACAAGGATGACCGCATGGGATCTGGTCGACCCCTCCTGCAAAGTCCCCGTGAGGATCGACAATGAGGAGCCAATGATTAGGACCGTCACCACCACCTCAGGACCCCGGATGCTCATCGCGAAGCTCATGCGACGTTCCGGACTGAAAGTGCGGCTCGTTCTTGCAGGCGATGTGGCAAAACGAGGGATGGTGTGGGATGTTGGTGCGAAGGTTCAAACATTCCAATGAATGGAACGATCAACAAATCGATGCTAATGACCGTCTGGAATCTTTATGGACGCATCATGACATAATGTAGACTTCTTGATTCATAATTAAAAAAGACCCATACGAAGAGATGTTGATTTTATCATCCAAAGCTGGACAATTGAAACGCCTGAGACGACTTCCTCACAGCCCCACCCACACGAGGACATCCGACATCCGTTGCGGCCCAGTGGCCATGAGGATAGAAACCTTAGGCTGCGAGGCCGACGGCATAAATATCTACTGCGCTACTGTATCCAAAGTGCGCACCGCAGGCATTGTTACTATTGAAGTCTGAGGAAGAAGCCAATCCTTCTGACGAAGTAAATGTATAGGCTGCACTTAGACTAAGTACAGTAGTCACTAGGAATCTCTACTTGATTTGAACTGTGGTATCGATACCTCCTCTGGTTCGTTTGGGGAAAATTCTACTGAAACCCACGGTTGCTTCGCACGAGTTGTCGCCGTTTAAAAGGAAGTTCTTGGAGCCTTTGTTGGCTCGGACCAGTTCTCGCCAAGGCGCTAGCCTCTCTTCAAAGCTCCCGCTGCCCAAAATCCTAGACTCTGGCACTGAGGGCGGCTGAACCACCCAGGACAAGGCGTGAATATATTGAACGTGACCTGCCAAAAGCAGTGCCAGCAGCATGGGAACCTGACTATGAGTCAGTGGACTCAACCATCAGCACCGAATTGGGGCTCTCTAAACCACACAACGTTGAAGACCAACGATCGATCTTGCATTCCGCAAGATAGAATGATACGTTAGCATACGTTTTGCCATGAAGACTCCGTAGGAGCCTTTCGAGTTTATTGGCACAAAAGCACTTCGCAAACCACACACCATACAAAATGGCTATATAAGCAGTAAACACACATGCTTAACAAATGTATCTGTGCAAAAAATTGAGTCAGGCATCCTTTCTCAGCAGGTGTTGCATCAGGCAGTAGGTTGGGCGATCAGGTCTTTTTGCAGGCAATTGCTGCTTTATTGGTCTTCGTGTTTCAAGGTTGGGAATCTTGACAATCTTGACAGCAGATCGCTGTCACATCAGACATTGGCCAATGCGAAACCTCCCAAAATGAAGACACCAAAAACATCCAAAAACCATCAAACACCCTCTTTGCAATCGCAGCCAATAGCTCGCCTGCTTCTGGCCAAATCTCCGCCAAATCGATCCAGCTCTCACGGAAGCCAGACACAGCAGTGCCCACAGCCTGGTCTGCAGAGTGATGTAAGATTGAGATGATGAGCGGGCGACTGAAGTGAACACAGCATGTCTCGAGTCGGGCAATCTGCAAGGAAAGGTGAGGTGCGTGGCTCTCTAAGTCTCGCTTGCAACTGGAACTTGCAAACGATGGCTTGCTGCTTGCCATGAGCACTGCCAAAATACACTTGTAAGTGTCTTCCACAGCCTACCGCCTTTGATGAGTCCGAAGATTGACCAAGGTAGGAGAACACAAGACCGCTTGGTAGAACCACAGGAACTTCAAGCGCGCTTGCGCGGCTGGCAAACATGCTCAAGAAGTGCAAAGCGCAAATCTTGTATGAGACCCGGCTACGGCTGAATTCGACACCACCTTGACATCAGCGTTTGAGTAGTCTTCAACTGGGCTTCCGGCAAACCAGGAGCAGGCCTCACAGATCCAACATGGTCTGACCAATCCCATGTTTCACAAAAATGCACTCGATGGAAATCTCAAGACTCGCCCATTTCGTGGCTGCCAGTGCCGGTAACTCGCCGATGAACGTCTGTGGCGAGTCCAAGTCCGATTCGTGTGCCCAAACGAAGATTCGGTACGAATTCGGCAGCCAAGATACCAGCAAATGTGCAGTCAGCAAGATGGAGGCCAACATCCGACAAACATTGAAGGCCAGGATTAGCCATTGCTGGCCCAGCCCAATCACCCAATTTTCGATCATGACGTTCACCCTGCGCGACTTGACAATGCCTGGGCACCAACAACAGTAGGGGCATCTTTAGGATTCTTTGGGGGAAGTATGGGCAGGTAGGTGACTTGTTCATATGTGCTCCAAATCTTCAGTCTAGCACAGCCGGCAGCCCAAGCTACGGAGGATCCGGATGCTCCGCAGGGCGCGCAAGTAGCGGGCAGAGCGCAGCGACCGAAGATAGCCTGTCACATCCCATGGGCGTGGAAAATCGCTCTGAAGTCAGTCCACTCCAGCCAAACTCAGCATGGCATACCTCTTTTTAATCAAGCTTGGAACCCGTATATAACCCTTGACAACTTGACCTTCGACTTTAGACTCCAATTTGGGGCGATTCTGTCGAACATGTATGAACTGTGACTCACATGACATGGGATAGAAAAGCAAAGCCGAGGCCCCACCGCTCTCTGTATCATTGCTGAAGCTCGTTGTGATTGCCATGACCTGGGAGAGGTTGTCATATAACATTCATATCGGCTATCGATTGATTTCGAACAATCCCACAACTTGCGGCTGCCCATACCTCTCTTGCACCACTGAGGTTCAAACCCAATCCACAGCTACCACGCAAATGTCGAACGCCAACCAGCGGCGAAGATAGTGGCACGCGATGTTCGATCGCCGCGTAATCAAAGACCCTTGCCTGAGCGTCTTCTGTGGCGTCGGGACTTGCGGATGTCGCATTCGCGCGATTGCCATGACACCTTCTCGGGCGCCCAACACGAGGAGCGGCTCGCTCAACTCTCACACGAAAAAAAACATGTGCCAAGGATCATGTAGAAGGCCGTGTTGAAATTCAACAACAAATCCGCTGGCCAGAATAGCAAATTAAGCCAAGCAAAGACCGCCAGGAACGCCTCCTCCGATGGGATCAGACAGTAGGCACGACATGCACGTGACCCCATCTGGGAGCCGGGGGGGGCGAACGAAGAAGCACACCGACAAACGAATGGCGCACGACTAGAGGGAAACGAAGTGATTGATTGAAAGCAATATGATGTAATATGATGTCAAGTCAACTTGAAGAGTTGCAGCCCATGTCACATGTTTCAGAATTGCCACATGTCTTCACCTCTTGCAAACATGGACGAGGTGTACCGCGCTCCAAGCGCTACTTGTGTGCAATGCCAGAGCGTTGATCGAACGCTCAAAAGTATCTTGCTTGATTTTGGACCCACAAGTCAGCCTCTACCGGCCATATGAATCAACTAGCTGATGCGGCTACCGGGCTACCGTCCTCTACGGTGACTGCCGGCCGCATTGGCTCCGTCTCAAACCCCCACGCCAAGCTCAATGGGAGGATGATCACATCTAGGAGAATAAGACCTGAGAAAGAAGAAAGACCTGCACCAACCGTCGGCTTGTCCACCAAGTTGAGCACAGCCCCGCTGGCAAAAGGGAGGTGACGCAACAAACCGGCGTGCGTACTTAGCAATGAAACGCAAGAGTAGACTGAACTCTGCAGCAGGACAACAATTGTAGTGGTTGCCAAATAATTAGATAGTGGCACGGTTTCCAATACGTTCTTAGTGGTGATCGTTTCTATCTATTTGGGGTCTACATTCCCCATCATTACCGACCGGAAAAAAACAGAATGATTTCTTCCTCTCTCTCTCATGTCACTTTTCACCGGGAAAAAAATATGGACCAGCTGGACGAGCTCAACCTGCAAAGCATGCATGAGCCTGCAAAGCGAGGCACCTCGCGGCCGTTCGCGAACCTGGATACCTGGCCGTCCTGTGTTCCACGGTTCCTACACCTCTTGCGACCCCAGGTGCGGCATGCTGCTTGGCACGGATGGTCATCTCAGGCTTGATGGTTCCGGGCCAGTCTCGCATCACTTGTTCCATCACAGCCGGAGGTTCTTGCTGAAATATATCCACACTTGTGGTTGCAGCCTGGTGCACCAGGCTGCAAGGAGAAAACTGTTCAAGAGCGATGATTGCAACGCTCTTCCGTTCCTTCCCCCTCATAAGAATAGGAGCAACCCCATGCCTAGTACCAATGACACCTCTCTCCGATTCTCGTGCAGAACTCTACCACGCACCTCCTCTATCTGCTCTGGCTTGTTATCTGGCCCATCCAACTCTCGCACCTTCCAGGGGGTGGTCGGCGTGGTGTTGACCCGTAGGTGGTTGCTCTGCAAGAAGGCAACGACACCAGAACATCCGACACATTCTCTAAATAGAGTCAAAAAGAAGATTGGATGAGATCCGTCATTGTCAGCTTCGAGAATGATTTCTTCCTGCTTCTACGGAAAGTGCAATTGATCACTGACACAGACAGAGGTGACATAGACAAAGATGTCCTTCATCAAAAGGAACCCTGTCATAAACTTAAATGGCAGCTCGAAGTTCCATGTCTCGAAGTTTCGTCTGGGGCCTGTTGTTCTCACACTCAGGTTGGCAAAGCATTGTATATGGATTCATATGAATATTTCGATGTCGGAGACGGTGCCAGGGTCTGGTTCACGGAAACAAGGGGCCCAATGTCGAAGGTCGAAGGTGTTGCGAGAGTTTGGGACCAGTAGCAAGGTGCCTTACTACCAGTAACTGGTAGCAAGGAATTGCTCAGGATATGCAGTAGTTCGTCCATCGGTCGTCCGCCCACGCGCCCACACGAACGTGGTCCCTTGATTCCGTTGCTTCGGCCGCGAAAAACGCCGCACCTGTGTGCGCACCTCTTGGATTGCTTTGTGGAGCTCCTCCTCCAAGCGCTGAAGGCCTCGGAAGAAAAGGGAGTACCGTTATATACAGTATAGGATGCTATAATATGTAAGCAATCGTTTTCAGCGACATCCAACTAAGCGGACTGGCCCGATGAGAAAACAAGAAACGTCGTGAGAAAACCTAGAAAACCGGGAACTATATAAGTGACAAGGGGGGCCAAGCACTCACTTGCGCACTTCAAGCACTGAACCTCACTGAACACTCACTCGCATTTTCAGAGGGGAAAAGGTGAAAGGAGATTCAACCACCAAACATTCTACTGGGTGGGGCCCATGGGGTGGGGGGAAGCGTGGCCTGAAGAATAGAACGCGGACCCAACCAACAGGCAATCTACAACCACCGGACACTGCCAAGAATGTTGGGTGATAAGAGTGTCTCCGAAACCCCAAGGAGCACCCTTGCGTGAGCAAAACCACCAGGAAGAGTGGGTAAGGAAAGAGCCTGATGAAAGGAGAAGGCACAGCTGCATCTCATTCAACACCACCCGGTCATCTGGCCCACCGGCCCATGGCTAACCTCAACCTTGCACCACCAAACACACAAGTCACACGTACGGTTTGAGTCACTCTTTGATGAAAAACATGCAATGGGACAAGCAACCCCCGTTGGCCGCGATGCCAGAGGAAAACGTTCTGTCAACAACGCACATTATACCAGCATAGACTCCAAACAGTGTCAGCACTTTTGGGGGCATCGGCGCCAACTCCTGAATTCCAATGTTGGTGGAAACGCCTGCAAGTATACTTTTCTATAGCCTCCAGCTGTTTGGGAGTTGCACCTAAACAATAAATATATAAATGTCTGAGAACACTAGTTCCTGATGCCCGTGTCACATGTGCACAAAACGATGGGGTATCGGACATGATATATGTCATGAGAAAATCCGCGGGTGATAATATCACATTTCAACCGCTGTATCACTGTTGCATTCATAGCCACAGGAAAACATACCCAAACAAGGCGGTGGAGAAAGAAAAGGCGGCATGGCCAAGCAAGGGGCAAGGTCCGGACAAGGCGATGATAAAAGTGCCGACAACGTGGACAAGCAGGAGAGGCAGACCTGGACAAAGTACAGAAGGAGGACACAGGGTTTGCAACCGTGGCAGTGGCACAAGGACAGCAGGAGGACAGCAGGAGGACAGCAGGAGGACACCAGGAGGACCAGAGAAGGACACAGGGTTAGCCAGCGTGGCCAGAGGACGGCAGCAGCAGGAGGAGAACTGGAGGACAAGAGACAAGAAGAGGACAATGGGAGGACCAGCGCGGCCAGAGGACAAGAGGAGGACAAGACCTGGACACAGAGCCCGGACACAGAGTTCAGGGGCGCGGCCAGCCACTTTGGCTAGCGCTTTCTTCCTGAGAACCCCAGCAGTAAACTGTTGGGGGGGAAATCAACAATCAGGTCATGGCGATTGACCCCACAATCTTTAGGACATTCCAGGTGGGGAAAGCCATTCTCTGTCTTCCTTCGAGCGGCTCTCCAGCAGCTTGGCCATCAAAGCTGCGTCAAAGAGCCAACAGAAATGGATTGGGCCTCCTGAGGCCCCTGAGGCCTTCTACAGTAATTAGATGTCTGGGAAGCATAATTATGTATATAGGTGTGTAACGTGCATCCTTGACAGTAAAAAAACACTCGACTCTTCAGCGCATGTCTTGTTCACTCAGTGCGGGGACGGACTCTAGGCCTCTAGGCGCTGCGGGTGGCTGGCGTTCGATACTGACATATATACTTACCGACGTTCCGATGATCCCACCTTGAGCCGAGCTCACGCGCACGGAAACTCAAGCTGAGCACTCCAGTCATGTCAGGTGCAGACTTTCGCGATCACCGTGGATATTGCATTATTGGTGTCAAGTTGCCCCTTTCTCCATGAGCTTGGCTGCTGATCCAACAAGCGCACAGTAGGTGAAACAGAATGAAATTAGGAGTGGTTCTCACCGCCTCTGTTGCTTCTGGTTGCCCTCGACAAACTTAGTTACGAGGAATAGAATAACCATTTATGGTGGTGTGCCTTATCCAGCAGAGGAGAAGCTCCAAAGCTGCTGTGTAAAGTCATGATCATGGAATCAAGCTCTCAAAGGACATAAAACTCAAAGGACGATGAATCTTCTCGAGCCGAACAAACATCCATCCTGTATGCGGGCCTGATGCCGCCTCCACAAGAATTCCAGCAATCTGCGCAACACTGCCACCAAGTCTGACACAAATCATGCGTTCACAGTGATATCATGTGATATATATATATATATCCAAATCAAACGGTTTGGCTCTCTTGTGAAATTCTGCGCCATCACTGAGAAGTCGAGGGCACCAACCGCTCGCCGCTTTAGCCAGTTCAAAAAATTGGAGTTCTACATGGCCCTCGCTCCCAGGAAGTCAACGTCGTTGGGTCCGCAAGAAGCGTTGAAATGGATTCGGGGTGGGAGATTCCAGTGTCCTTTTGGGAAATCCTCCCTCAGAGGGAACCCAGCAGTCCTACACCGAATCCCCAAGCAAATGGATTGCAAATGGGAGGCTCGACTAGTGGCGAATCAAGCGGTGGGGAGAATTAGTCCCTCCCAACTTTCCGACCTGAAGAAGCCACGTAGTGATCTACCTTGGATAACCAAACAAGATCATCTGGAGCATTCCTCCCTAAGGAAGCAGGGCCAAGTTGTGAGAAGTCAAAAATCCATCGATTTCGAGATGGCAACCGAAGACCCGGGGTCGTGTTGCACGGAACCCGAGTTCGGTGTGCAGCATCTCCCCTGTTGTCGTGTCCCGAACGTGGGGGGCAGCACGTCGTGTCCCGAGTGTCGGAGTGATCGACCTTGGATCAACCTTGGATCTTGGACCTCCCATCGACCAAATGATACCAAATTATGCAAGTGTTAGAATCACTTATATACTTGTTTTAAGGATTCGGTGAACATCTGCAAAATAAAAAAAGATACCAAACCAAACAAGAAGCAAAGGACACGTGACATGTGCCACCTTAGCCAAGACCTCTTTGGCCTGAATAGTGGCTAGGCCATGGAAGGCCTGACTTCTGTTGCTTAGGAGCAAAACACCAAACCAACATCCTGTGGAGTGTAATCCACTTGACTCCGGCGAAACCAGGAATGGGCACAAATTGCTGCGATGAGAATCGGTGCTATATTGTTCTTTCCGATGATTGATCATGCCCATCAACTTATTAAGTCGACCCAACACTCAGTTCTCATAGACAGCCCCAAAAAACTGCCAAAAAAAGGGGCGCGCCCGGAAGCCAATGCTTATTGTGAAGAATCAGAGTCCATGCCCTTCGCTCAAAAGATCTCACTCTCCACGAACTGCAAGTCCAATGGCACTCCCATAGCTGTATTTCCGTTCTCCTGACACAGTGGACAGTTTGACCATCCTCCACAGTGCAGGTCATATGATTAGTTCAAGAATGTTCAACATAGCTGTAGTGGAGTTCAAGAATGATTACTATATATATATAATTCTGATGATTATAGATATTATAGATCAAGAATGTTCTTATGATATATTACTATAGTTCAAGAATGATTATTAGTTCAAGAATGGTGAATAAATATTTTCTCGTTGAGTTCCTGCTCCAAAAAATTGGCAGTGCATGGCTGTCCCGCTTAAAGGGTGTCCCTGCGCACACCTGCCTTCTCTTGCTTGTGGTGCTTCACCAGATCCCGGACGGAATTTGCCAGCATGATGACATCTGTGTGGGGTTCCCGAACCTGAGGACATGCACCCGGGTCAACAGGTCACAATTGTTGGTGATCATGTCTGGCCCATCATCCCGCCACACTCAGCTTCCTGCGGTCGGAACCTCCAAACCGCCTCCTTCTATGGACTAAGGGACGCCGTGATCATATCACGTCATATCTTCAAACGGTGGGATGAAGCTGAGGGGGCAGGTTGGGTTGGGCAATCTGATGAATGGAAGAACTGGATGTTAAGTTATATAAGAGTTGAGAGGACAGTGACGGTGCACATCATATTGTGGCTTTCGAAGCAAAATGGATCAAATTTGGATTGTCGTCTACCGTGTTGGGGCATTTACACCATCGCGGCGGAGCCACTGGACGATAAGGGGGTACAGGATGTTCATGGCAAGGATGTTTCGTAGATGTGCGATATGGCCTGATCCTAGCTCTATTGTGTTCCTCAGGTTTGGCTAGATTCGGGGAACCATCGTGACTGTCAGTGACAGCAACTGGATTGCATCTACCTTGCTGTGGCATGCGCATTCAACTGCGAGCTGCGCCGCACTCTCATCCCATTTCGCCACGGGGCTCGACGCCAGTTCTCCTGGGACACCTCCAAGACCAGCCGGCCGCCCTAGGCAAAGATAAGTTCAAACAAATACTGTTGAGCAAAAAGAAGATCGAGTTCACTGTACTTACGATGATTGTTACATGTAATTACACGTTGCAAGTTGATGTGTTGCAAGTGGGCTCAATGGATGATCAATTATATCAATGCCACCAGCAAGATTGTTTTCTAAAGTGGCTCACTTTATTTGCATATCAAGGCTCAATCAAACGCAACTTCGCTCGGCACAGGCAAGTCTGAAAGATGTAGCCTCAAGCAGCTGGACAACAAGGGACAGTCTCTGCCATTCTGCAGTTGTGACTTCGCACGTCATGAAATTGGATAGGGTTTGGGCACTGGTTTGGGAATGTGAGCGCGAGGAGGTACAAGGAGATACGAGATGATACGAGGAGCCACCATTAAAACATGAAAACGGATCAAATGTTGGCCCAGGGTTGAGGCAGGAAGATTGCATTTCACTCTTCTGTAGCCGCCTTGCATGGACTTTAAGTCGCTTTCTTGGAGGCATACCTGTAGCTGTGCCGCAAGGGTCTCCTATGAGATCATATTGGATGAAGGGGTGTGACGCTAGCAGCACACGTTCACTTCGGTACAAAAAGAACTGGACCGTCTCAGTGTGAACACCATCGCTAAGTTGAGTTTCCAAAAACATCTAAGGGACCAAATCCGGCCGCTCAGCCCGTCTACGCTGTAGCTGGCTGCCAGCTTCCCACTTACTTGTCTAACTTAAACCTCCTCACAGCCTACCCCCTTCCTGGGCATTTACCAACCAAAAAAAGAAAGCTTTTCATAGACTGTCAAGACTGTGGAGCTGTTTTGCACCATCAAGATGAAGGCAGCCAGGTCTGCCAGGTCGACGGACAAGGTCTGAAGCTTGCTGCCTGGAAAAAAAAGGAAGTGTTTTTTCCTTCCTGAAAATTCAAAGTTCCATTCCCAACAGGAACCGTGGTTCCTTGGTCGGCCCCCGACAAAGGAACGTTCGTTCGGAGGTCATGAGTTTGGACATTTCGGCGCAAACATCAACAGGCAAGCTTCACTGAGGTCTGCTCATTGGCAGCAATGGCTGCCAGGCTGCCAGTACTTTCACTTCATTGTGCACATTGGAGCACCACCGGTCACCCCGCCTGTGTCTCGAATGGTGTTGAGCGAGCCTGAACAAGTGCGACCATCGAAACACCCTTCTGACTTGCTCGGCAAGCCTGCGTTGCAAGGTCACATTCATTTTTGCACTATCCAGTCACTACCCCTAATTATAAATGTATACCTTTTTCCCCCACGTAGTTGCCACCATACAAAACATGAAACAAGCGGGCCCATCCCTTCTGATCAATGAACGAATGACTTCAGCCTTTGCCTTCAAACTTTTCTCCACCACGGACCGCCGACCACCGAACCAGCTTGGATTTGATAAGATTTCAGGGTTGGCTGGAGTTCTTGAAGCCGTCCTGCCATCGGACTGATCGTCGCGTTTTCGGAGCATGGCTGAAATGTGAGGGCCAAGAAGCTTCTGGGCACCACAGAGGCCACTGCTTTGGGCGCTACTGCACGTACGGCAGCTAAAAGCTCCACCAGCACCTGAAAACTGGAAATGAAAGTGTTAACCGCTGCGTTGGAAGATGTAGGAAGCGTATAGGTTGAGTATATCTGTATGTATATATACACAATAAAAAAATGTATGATATAGACGGACCGTTTAACCACCATTCCGTGGTGGCACCCCCCTTCAAACAACAAGAGTAATCTCAGAGAAGCTAGCAAGTCCACAGCCTGCTCAGTGTTTGGGCCGGCGGGGTTTGCCAGTTCGTTTTTCATTGATTAATATTGAAGACCCTGGGTGTTGCCTCTATCTGCACGCAGGCTCCTAGAAACCCAGTGCCAATGCCAAAAGCACCTCAACCCTTTGCGCGTACCTTGCGTTTAGAAAACCATATCTGTCCTGCAACCGCCCTGAAGCGAAGCTAGCACAAACCCGCGCTGAGTTTGAGAGAGTGTGTGCGTAGTTTGTGGACGTAGGATTCATTGTGGTATATTGTGGTCAAGCCCATCCGCGTCGTACATGGATTGCTGACATAGGCAGGATTGCGGGCCTCTTGGGCAATAGCCTGCCGGCACCGACCTGACCGATGCCTATAAGGGGGAACGCCGCTTTGGACTCACAGAACTCGGTGGGCTAAGGCTGTGGCGAGACCACTTTCCGTAGTTTCCAAGTTGACGTTTGGGCACTCTTTCTGCGGTTCCCTGCGGCTTTGTCCCAGTGCCAAAATGACAAAGTTCAGTGCCAACACGAGTGGCGAAACTTCTTCAGTGCCATGCTGGGAGGCACTCAACCAACTACCAGCACCCACCAACAACCACTGACATCGTAGGGTCCGCGGCACCCGGGCATTATTCAGCCTGCGCTGAAAGCTATTTGCCCCACCTGCCAGGCGAGGGCTGTTAGATTCTATCAGAGCTGGTCTCCTCCTCCTCCTCCTCCTTCTCGCAACCCCCTCCACACGTGCCAGATCGCAGTGGGTAGCGCCCGACCTGAACCGCGAGCGCTAGATGCAGCGGGCACCCCGGGCCTGAACCAGATAGAAAGAATGCCAGAAAAAATGTCAGCAATTATGCCAGATAGAAGGCCAGAATTCCAGATATGCCTGAATATATGCCAGATAGAATGCCAGAATATATCCAAAGATAGAATGCCAGAATATATGCCAAATAGAATGCCATAATGTATGCCAGCATATGTTCAAGATACACACTTTCTTGTTGATGTTGAAGCAATATAAGCATAACAATATTATAGCCATGGGTTATCAGCAAAGTACAATGCCATGGTGGGGGTCACTCGAAGTAAGGTATTTGCAATTTCTTGCTCTGTTTGGACAGTGAATATAAATTTTGCCAGCCCAGCAGCCATAGAGTTTCACTGATCTTCTCTCTGGCTGTGGCTGCGGTGAACGGATAAACAAAGTAAAACATAGTAAAACGACGGGATCCAGCGTTGACTCACCCAGACAAGGGATATGCTGTGAAGCTCTGCTGTGATCCACTTCTATGCCCGCGAAGGACGTAGCTCCGCCTGAGACCTTGGGGTCCAAGAGTTCCAAACTCCATGAAGACTAGCTTATATATATATATAAGTATATAACGATGGGGGAGTCAAACACCAAGGACCACAAGTTTAGGCACGCACTCATCAGTAGTTTTCCTAAGATACACCCGCCTCCGGGACCTGGCGGACACACAACTGAAAACACAAGTGCGGGACACTGGCTTGCAGGGCTGGATCCGACGCTGAAAGGTTTGCTTGTCTGCTGATGCTTGCCGAAGCCTTTTGCATTCGGCCCCTTTGGAGTGGTGCCGCCCCGTACATCCCACAAAGGGGCCTGCAGCAGCACAGGGATTGTCACGAAAGCGTTGGATTTGGCGCGCTCCAAGCACAGCGGCAGGAACCTGAGCCATCGCAAACAACAAGAAATGCCCTTGTCATTCTGTGCAAGGCCAGAAGCTATTGTTTAGGGTTCATTACACCTCACAGGTTTTCTCACCAGTTGTCAGGAACTTGGGGGTACATAACACTGTGCGGGGACTTTGTTTTACCTAACGGAAGCCGATAAACCACCCAAAAAACTAGGTAAATGAACAATACTCGTGTAGTTTGATCCAACACTTGCCAAATGTCATCTCAATAAATGCACTAATAGACCTATGTGTTGTCCAAAAATCAGAAACGCTCATGCAATTTGATCTCAAAAACAATGCTCGTTTAAATTGAGTTTAGCAAACATTACATTTATCAAATGGACGTACGTTCCAAGGAGTCCAATTGTTTATACCTTCAACTATATATACAATAGATATTTGAATTACATGATTTAATTGCATCTGTGTCTTGCAAAAAATCTCAGATTCCGAGGTGTGGACACAAATCAGAACAGTCAATCTCTTTATAACACCCGTCTTTAACAAAACTGAAAAACTTGGCGAAGGATACTTAGGAAAGCCGAGAACATATAAGCAAACCCGCTGCCAAAAATAGATGACAATGTCCATGAAGCTTAAAAGCAATTCAGTTCTCTTTGATTTATGCTTTTACTCTGAACTACTCAACTATTACGTGCCAAATGTAATGATCAAAACCCTGACAAAGGATACCCTTACTTAGGAAAGTCCCGAACATACAAGCATAAACAACTGCAAGTAACAAACATCGTTTTCCACCAAGTCCTGAAAAATACTTAAAGCCTTCATGTCACGTTCAACTCCTTTCACTTGCCTTTTGATTTGAGTCGGAGGTTTATGATTGCGGCGGGGTTTATTGTGTGGAGCTGGAGAGCCTTCGTCATTTCTTGCCTAGACTTTACGACTATTCTCTATACTCCTGGCCCATGGTAGTGTTGCTTGAAGAGCTGAGCCTTTTGTCCTTCTCGTAGCAGCCAGCAGCTTGCTGACCAGTGCATCAAGATAGACATTGGGATGAAAAAGCTTGAATTATTAGCAAACTATATACAGTATACAGGTATGTTGTAGTGATCGGATTGACTGGGTGGACTGGACATGAGTCAATGAGGTCAACCACCCCCTTCTTTGGGGATCTAAGAGCGGAGCAAATGGGCTGATGAATGCCATACCCAGAAACTCAAAGACAATGGCCTGGTTGACCACGCCATCCGCTAAAAAGTGCTGCAATAAACTGCGCTGTTCGGCACTCGTGAGCTGCTGCCAGGACTCTTGCAGCACCTGCAGGTCCTTCGGATGAGAGCAAAGGAAACATCGTGAAAGGTCGTTTCGATCATTGCAGAGGAAGGGGTCAAGGATGCTTAAGGAGAAGATCGGGATATGGAGTATATGGCATAAGCAGCCTTTGACAAGGCTCTCTGGCTCGTTCTCTGTTTCTCTTTCTTCAGGTGTTGAGTTGTAATTGGTCTGGCCCTGACGTGAAACCCCGCCAAGTCCTTGGGCTTCTGTGCCCTGCACAGGCCTAGGCACGTCTTGGATCTGGACGGTCCCCAAAGGACTGGGATGTGTTCGAACAAATGAAACCAAAGGAAGGAAGAATATGCTGCTGCATAAGGCATCATCCGGCCCCTCAAGGTTGGAAACATGTGTACCTCTTCAAAGTCAACAGCCGGCCTGAACTTCTGAGGCACAGTGGAGACACCACATACATCATGCAGCTGGAAAAGGGTGCTTCTTGGCTTGATGATTGAAGGTTGACAGGGTTGACCATTCGGTGAAGTGTAGGATGGGAGTCATGCTATGGACGCTCAACACACCAAAACTTCGAACCCCGTCCCCACAAGACTACCTCCGCAGCAACGGTGCTTTATCAAGACCTTCGTGTTGGCCGTCGCCTGGTGAGGGCCTTCTCGGTTGCTCTCCAGCAGTCTTCATGGAGCGGAGTGGTTGGAAGTTTCCTTAACATGCTATTTGCTCCTAGTAGGAGTGCCCTTGTTCCTAGTAGCTTCTTGTTCCTAGTAGCAATGCCAGGAGCTACTAGTAGTGATGCCCTTGTTCCTATTAGCTTCTTGTTCCAAGGGACAGGCCAAGCGCACCACGGCAAGATCAGCCGTATTGGATGGCTGACGGCCCAAGTCCACCGCACGGTTGTGGATGTAGGTCCAGTAAAGTGCTGTGGGTTCCTGCACCCGCCGGGCCATTCCCACCATGGGTAAGACCCTAGCTTGAATACAGGCAGAGCAAAACAATCAAAACTGCTCATGATTCATGAGATACGCCCAGGGTCATAGAGGAAGACCTGAACAAAACTGCGAAATGAAACAACTGGCTGCTGTGAAGCGACGAGAAGCGCTCGCGGTTTCCACAGCAAACCGCCACACATCGGGTCCTTCTCCAAGACCCGCATGAGGATGTGAAGCCCGGGAATCGTGGACCGGGCATTGCTGCAGTTCATAAAGCGGGAGCCATTGCCACCAGCTAGACCACTCAGGAATCCCAGCAGAAACAGTACCTGAGATCACTGGAAACCCCAACGAGCACTAGTTCAGCGGCTCTCACGTTTTGTGGCAAGTGTTGTGGCGAGTTTAGTTCACACTCCTAGCTGGCTGGCTGCTTTGCGTAAGAGCTAGATGTGCAGTTGACAAAAGAGTTGTCACCGTCCTTTCTTCTGGATGCTCCTGCAACCCAATCGATGCCCAGCCACATAGAACTTCAAAGTCTCTTCGCCTAAGTGGGTTCTTTCATGGGTCACATCACATGGAGGTCCGAGGACCCAAAAATCGGGGAGCCAACAAACGCCGAATGCGATGGATCAAAAATCGCTAAGCCGCCGCTCTTCTTCAGGATGAACTCTTTCAGTTGCAAAAGGTTGGCCGGCACCTCCACAAGTCACGAATTTTGCTAGGCACCTTGTGCACACTCACAAACTGTCTACCATTGAAGGGGGTGCCGCACGTCTGCTTCTTTGGCATGTTGGCTCCAGATCTGCTTACTGCTTTCTTGCAGGCCGCGCTCGCTCGCGATGCAAACAACAGCAACATTGCCGTCAAGAAGCGTTTTCACCCTGCAACATCTGTGCAAAGTTGAAATCCAGCTGCAGCTCAAGAGTGGATGTCCTCAAGTAGGCTTGCTAACCAGGAGTCTCCACAAAGGAGTCCCCAAAAGTTCGCTCACGAGCTTCCTGCTGCATCACAAGCACGATCCACCAGCGGCACATAACAAAACTACTATAACCTTGCCCAAGAGTTTGAGTGGCTGTGCTCGCTGTTGGTGCTGGTGCTTATTTGCATTTGGAAGGTGTGTATGCAAAAATGTCTCTGTTCCAACCAGGCAAGTCTTGACGACACCCTCCACTGAGTGTTGCCCGCGGCTCTTGAGTTCTCGCACTCCGGACTGTCAGTGGCCAAGTCTCACAAAGGCTCGGACGTGAGTTGTTAAGGCATCGCCAGAAGGTGACACAAGGGGATAGCCAGCCTCAGCCCCATGTTGAATCTCGATGCGACTTCGCGATGAATTCGGCGTTCCTTTGCATAATATCCAAACTTCAAATGCGGGTGCCCTCAGTGGATTTCATAGGATCCTGGGAGTGCTGATTCCAACCAACGATGATTCATCTATTTTCGCTTCTGCTGCTAGAGCGGTGGGGCGCAGTTGGAAGGTTTCTTAGTTTGAAACCTTCACACTGCTCGTATGACTTAAACAAGTAGCACTTGCCACTTGCTTCAGAGCCAAGTTGCGGCTTCACATGTCCGGAATGAGACAACTGCTTTGACTGGTAGAATGCAAGGTAGAGCCAGCACCCCCAAGCAACCCACGCGGTCTGCCAAGAGGCAAGGATGTACCGTACTGCTTGGTCTGGCCGCTGTGCATGGCTTGGGAGCTGTGATGTCACTGCCCTGGCGACGGCTATCACTTCCAGAATCTGCAGAATCTGGGTGGCCACGAAGTGCTTCAAACATCTTCAAAATTCTTCAAGCATGCAGTCATCCACACAGCACATGGGCAACCGCTTATTTTTATATATTGTTGTATATTACCATGTCTGTTACAAAATGAAATGTTGCTGCTCACCTCTCAACTTCTTTGCACCTTGGGCAGCTTTCTTCAGCTGCTCATTCGTTTGAACGAGCTTCCCAAAAAGCCCGTGCCTGTACTTGCCCATGGGCCGCACTGCTAGAAGCCAGATTGCTGCCATCACTTTCCTGTCGTTTGGGAACCGAAACACGTTTGAGCCGAACGAGGGGCCTGGCACAATGACTCACGACTCACAGTGGCATAAGAGGCTCTGGTCCAATGGGAGGCTTCGTGGGCTTGTGAAAAAGAAGTGGCTGGGTCCGGGTTCAAGCCTTCCACTGGACCAAGCCCCCACACAAGTGACACAAGCTGTTCACGGGACATGCACGGCCCCAAAAAATACCAACGCGAGATTCCTGCGAATTATACATACATTCACCTTTCTACAGCAAAGAGGGGCAAGTATGGACTTTCCTGTGTCCGACTTAAAGTCTATTCAATCAACGAGCAGCCAGCCAAGTTGGATCTGAAACTCTGGAATCATAATGCTTTCACATGCCAAACCCTCTCACTTTACATCACTTGCCCATCGCAGGTCTTGGATTAGCAATTTCATGCCAAGCGGCTCTGGGGTAGGCTCGGCCCAAAGAAGTACACCCTGAAGTTGCTCCCACTGAGCCATGGTCAGGCGGTTTGCTCCGCTCTGGGGGGAGGTGTAAGCCTCCCATTCAGCAACCGCAACCGCAAAAATGAATGAGACAAAACCGAACGGCTGCATAATAGCAGGCTAGTGCGTTCATCCAGCGTTAAACAAGCAGCCAGCAGATTCAAGAGCTACCCAATGTTTCTGCATGTTTCTGCAAAGGGTTGGACCTTCCACGGGGACAGCAGAACAGAAAAGAAGAAAGAGGGAGAACAATCACACGTTCAAAAGAGTTCGGATTTGTTTTGTGTTTGTCTTTTTAGGTTTAGGACATTGTTTTGCGGGCATGGCCCACCGGCGCTCGACAATGCTTTGGTACAAAGGATGCTCTCAGTTGCTGTGTTTGCAAGCGGTGTGTAGGTAGAACCGCTTGCAAATGATCTTTGGGTGGGGTTTGGTAGGTAGGGGCAGGCCGGTAAGGCGATTAGGTCTAAGTTGTGTAGTTTGCGGACATTGTGCTGCACACGAAGCGCAGCAAAAACATATGAGTTCGCTGCAACCCTCACCCCAAAAGGAGCTTCTGCTCCTTTCTTGCGTCCTTGCTTTCTTGCATGCTACTTTGCTCTTTCATCCTTCCTGCGTTATTTCCTTGCTTGCTTGCTCGCTTGCTTGCTTCCTCCCTTGCTTCCTCATCTTCCTCGCTTGCTTCCTTCTTTGCCTCCTTCCTTGCTTCTTGCCTTGCAGAACCCCCCCGCCCACATAAAGAACAACAACAACACACAAAACAACCAGAGGAGCGAAGGAAGGAAGGAAGGAAGGAAGGAGGGAAGGAGGGGAAGGAGGGGAAGGAGGGGAAGGAGGGGAAGGAGGG